AAAAAGAATTTGGAATTTTTGTTTATACTTCTTTTTACTGCTGAGGTTTTGCTTTTGCCAAAGTCAATGCTGAAATGCTCAACCGTATAAATCTAGCAACCATATAACATTTTCCGTTAGCCAAAGTTTTGCCTTATTAAACACTTTAAAATTTCTTACTTTTGCACTTCGGTGTATTATTAGTCCATTTTCCGTTCGTTGAGCACTGTAGGTATTCGCTGCCGACCAGTTCATGTGTCGAAGAACATGTGAAGTGAGCGAGGCCACCGTATGCATAAGAGGTTACAGTTACAGATAGGGCATCCTCAGTAAGCGATATTGGTGGACACTGTGACGCTGAAAAAGTGCTCTATGAAATAAAATGACTTCCATCTTGCAAAAATTTGCTGCAAGAGACTCTGTATAATACTCGACAATACGTTTTTTTGTGCATGCTTGAGAAAGATTGCAATCTAACGTTGGCAGGTTGGTGGTGGATGGGACCAATGTCCGTCAATACAAATTGAGGAGCGTGCTCCATCGAGCTGATATTTTTCGGGGCATGAAAATTGAATTGATGCACCGGTAAAGTACTGATGTTGGGTTGGATATGTTCTCAGCATTGGCCGGTTCTGTGGTCTGTCGCAGGTCTTGTCTAAAATAATCCGCTCTATTTGAGTATTTGTTTCTAATTTTAGCCTTTTTTTGAAATTTTAAAAACTAAGAACTAAATATATGATTTAGTATGTGTACCTTTCACAAGAATTTTTATTGAATTGCGCTGTCCATCGTAAGAAACGCATTGAAATTCTCCTTGATCTTGAAATAGAGCTGCATTAATGATGAGCTGAAAACAAGATTTCTTAATACAGAAATCTTTTTTACATTTAAAGATAAATCAAAAATTTTACTTTGTCCATAAATTACTCTCAATCTAAGTGTATGAAACTTTTAAATTAGGAAAGCTCCTTTTATCAGCATAAAAAATAACAAAACCATTCCTCTCAACAATATAATACTGTAGGCTCAGGTCACCTGAAAAGCACTGCAATTTCCATAGTGTAAATCTGCTGTCGACAGGATATGCTGTGGATAGTCCCTGTACTCTGAAGTAGTTTTCCATACCGGTTGCTTTTTACCAAATGCGAAAAGGCAATACAGATAAACAGTAGAGGCAACATTGACAATAAGTTCTCCTCTAGGAGACACGCTATATGGGCCGTGTTGCACTTGAAATCGGATCGGTGGGGGTCCATCTGCAGTGCAGGTAGATAGTTAATGAGATAAACTATAGTGCAGAAAGTAATTATCTTTTCTAGTATAACAAGAATTAACCTTCAATATTAAGAGCAACACATTTTGGTATTTTAAATATCCACTGGTTATTTCTACATATTGTATAGTCGTTGCCACGAAGCTGTTTTTCACCAACATCGGCGCAAGAGAATTGAAGTATTGCATTTTCTAAGAAATCCTACTACTGTAGTTCCTCATGATACCGAAATTCTTGCTTAAATGTTTTGAGCATATCGTGCTTGTTACCAAAATTTGGAATCAAAAAAATTACCAGGGAATTTTTGACTGAATGTTATATATCGCTTTAAATCTGGTGAATAAGCTCTAATCCTTGAACTAAGATCCACTTCATAATCACATGTTCCATGATCTAAAATGTTACTACAACATGCATTAATTGTTCAAATCAGTTTCTTATTTTCTAGTTTTAATTTTTCCTTAGTCACTCAGAAACTTTGTCTTTGGTCCACTGTAATGTGCATTATGAAACTGGCCCTTTGATACATCGGGTTTACAGTACAGCCTTCGTTTCGCGGTCCATCTACCGTGTCTGCAACGCAATTTTAATATCCTGCCACTGGTTTCCGGGATATCGTAACTGCAGACTACCTGGAGGAAAAGTACTTCATGACAGCATATTCAGAATTCTATTTAGATTTTACACTCTCAAATTTCTAAGAAAAAAATTAAGTGTTCTAAAATTAAGACAGCATTCTTCATTAAATTAATTATTTAACTTTAAATGAAGATGCAGATTCAGTTAGGCAGTGAAATAAAATTAACTTTCAACAAAGTTCCATGCGGATATCGTTGATTTGGTGGAGTTGGCCCGTTGCGTATATTCAAAAAAGTGTGCGATGGGCTAATACTTGGATGCTTACAACTCTGCTCTTGACCGGCGCTGGAAACTTTCGGAACAAAAGAAACTGAAAACTTTGACTTCACGGTGGTTTTTTATTTAGAATTATCAATACAAGTATCCGATTTAACTGCCTTTTTTTGACTTGAGTCTTAACTATTTACACGCCAACTTTGGCTTATCACGGTTTCATTGTACTTTATCATTAAAATGTACTACGAAAATGTTACGACTAATGTTATACATTATTCTTACCACAAGGTTCATGATAGAAGTTCCATGACCCATCGCTGCAAATTATTGAATTCCATTTTGTGGAAACTTCGTTTGGCTTGCATTTATATCTGATTACTGTACCGTTATTAAACGCCGGTTGATGAGAGCTTATAAAAATTTTTGATGCTACTCCCAGTGTATTGGTACTTCGATAGGCGATAAAAGATCGTTTGATATTTGGTCTTAAGCAAGGTTTAGTCAAATGCCTTCCTGAAAAATTTTCCCTACAAATAATTAATTGTTTTTCCCAATCCAGTAAAAGTTTCTCACAACAGGAGCAGAATATGATGAAGCATGAAAAACGACGAAACCCAAAATTTGAAGAAGTTTTGGCGTTTCGTCATATGCAGTTAAGAAGGCTAAAAAATATTTACAAACCGAAACAGGTGCGAGGCTTGGGGTTTCCCAATACGATTTGAATATTTCAGCAGAAGGAGACATTCAGCTACTCGATCCGCATATCTTGCACACTTATTTTAGCTGTGATTTATTTTCATAAATTTTAGGTGTCTGGTTAGACTCATTTTGGGTTTACAAACCGAAAAAAGGAGTTTAAAAAATGAGTGCTTCGCCCACGTTCCAAGTTTTTCATTATATCGCATTATTAGGCATGATTTAAAAGTTCGTATTTCCAGTTTTTTGTTTACAGATTTCTTTAATTTTGCTTTTCTTTAAATGTTGTAGTGTGAACGCCAAAATCCTTTCACCATTTTCAAACACTGTTAGGGTTCAAAAGCATCGTGTGGCTGCTGGTAGGCTGCTCGTACACGTAGTTGCAGCGTTTTATCTGAACTTTTCCCGCTTTTCCTTCCTTCCTCTCTTCTTGCTTTTGTTGTCTTTTATTGCATCTGCCTTTACTTTCCTGCCCTCTAATTTTATTTGTTCCTCTTCCTTCTTGTTTTGTACAGCCGACGCATCAGTCAGTCTTAACCGAGTTCTCCTAGTTAAAAGTCCTGTCGAGCTAACGTTGTTGTTCTGTCGAGAAGTCGACTCAAACCACATACATTATATAATGACAGCTATCAGAGGAATTTTAAGTTGGGAATTTCACCAAGTATGAGCTCCTTGAGCAACTGGGCTAGCTTAAAAGTTTCTAATTTTATCTGACACAGCTTTGAGTGTTACACGTTGGTTACACTAAGTAAGTTTTTTCAAATATCTTACAAGTTTTCTTCTTCTAAAAAGTAGTCAAGGTACTGTCAAGAAACTGTAAAAATTTTAGTACTGTGGAGTGGCAACATTATGTTCAACATTAAAAATGAAAGAAGCAGGGAATGTCGACAAAAAATTATCGCATTTCTCGTCAACTTTTGAAGTTGACATTCATAAGTTGCTGTTTCTCGAGGCCATAAATTATTTATTTTCAGACAAAATTCCCGATAAAAAAGGGAAGGATTGTAGCCAAAAATAAGAGTTTTGTTTGGAATAGTAGAGGATATCTGAAGGCCTTTTCTTCTGCACTGTGAGGAAAAGGCATTTAATAACGGCGGAAAAAATTCGCAATATACCAGAAGCCTGCCAACCGCTTACGGAACAGGCAGGACAGAAGAAAAATCTAGTACCAAAGGTGTTTTTTTGGATATACTTCAAAACTTCAAAGCTTTTTAGTACTAACGTCGGTGCTTTGTTTTTACTGCTTGGTTGTTACTGCATTTAATTTATCAACATATTAATGAAGTCTTTGTGATTTTAACATTATTATTCCTGGTAAATGGAATAATCTTGTTCTTCTTTAGAACCGTTATTTTGTAAGCAGAATCCTTTTCGACCAAATAGCTAACTTTAATTTTAATAATAGAGCAGAAAAAAATTTAGAAAATTTTAAAACATTTTAGATTTGATATGCAGATTGCAACTCATTTAGGCTCTAATGAAAAGAAACTTGCTTGGTCTACATTTTCCAGCACGTTTCAAAAATTTTCCTCTGCGGCATTCTACTGTGTCATAGCCGTTGACTTTGCTGTTGAGGTCGCATATCAGTTTCACTTTGCTGCCGTTTTCAACCATTTCTCCGGACTGCAAGAATTTTCTGCTATCGACCAAGATAAAAAAACCATGCTTTTTCAGAGGAATCCTACACCTGTCTGCAATAAGAGTGTTCAAAATAAAATGGTCATTTGATCTTAAATAAGACTACCATTTAACATCCGATTCTTTTCTTTGGTTATTGCTAGAATTGATTTTTTGGTTACTGTTATCATAGCAGTAACTAAAAAATTTTAAATTACAAAACGTCTTTTTTTACTTTTGGCCTTCTTCAGCAAAATAATAGTTTTAAAATGCTCTAAAGGTTTTTTAAAGAAAACATTCTGTGGAAGCATGCAATAAATATGGGATAGATCCGGTGCGTATTTGCAATAAAACCGACATTTGTCCACAACAATACACTCTGGGAATGATCGTTCCCAACGACCTCCGACACAGTTAATCTGCATGCTCGACGAACCGCTAGTAAACTGATATCCCTCTAAGCAAGTCACCTAAATAAGTAACTTACTAACTTACTTTACTTTATTTTACGTTCACAATTGTTTAAAACAAGACTTATTCCAAGAAAGCGATTTGCAATTCAGAAAGATATCATCAATCAGAAAATGATGCCGTTTTTCTGGCAGTTTAGAACGTCCATTTCTAAAATTCTTATGTATCCACAATTCATATAGTGCTATTTTCTGTAAAGTTTAGGTCCTTTGATCATACTTTTGCAATGAAGGTGCCATTGACGGTGAAGTAAGAAATAATTTTTCTATAGTCGCTACGAATTGGTTGACAGCCGAATGACCGCTTGTCGCGAGCCCAGCGAATTTGTCCTTCCATTGTCGGGTATTTCTTCTGGATGCACTCCGGCTTGTATTTCGGCATCCATGTACCATTTATGCATGTCGCCTTACAAAGCATTGTATATAGTAGTCTGCCAAAAGTACCGCTGCTAAAGCAAGTTTTTTTGTAGCCTAGATCTGCTATCGCTTTGCAATTTTAATCGCAAGAGTTATTTTCATCGCGTGGTTTCCTTCTCATTTTTTCCCCAAAGTACAAAGCTACTTAAGAGAGGTTATGAGAGTACGGAAATTAACTTCAGAATTCCCTACAAGTAAAGTTAGAGCAAAAATGGGGGCGGCAGAGAGGCTAAAAGGAATGAAAAAAATTTTAGGAACAATCTTTTTTAATTCCTGCTTATACATCACATAAATCATAATTTTCTATTTTTTTGATAACTGCGGCAGTAATTTGACATGAGCTTTCAGCAAATTAGTAAAAGAATTACCCTGGGTGGTCCGATTAAGATGTACCCTTTGTAACACTGGAATGTTATTGATCTGCCGTGTTCAGTGTTGTTGTCATCCGGAAATGTGTAAGAGCCAACTTGGCCCTCCAGTAAAATTTGACCACCTTTTAAAGTGCCGTAACTGTGCCTGGGGTTTGAGCAAAACACTAAAAGCAGGATTTTTACTAATTATACTTATAAAAGCTATACCTGTAGGCACAGAAAAATTATAATTTTTTCGAATAATTCATTTAAAAGGAGTAAACAAGATTACCAGGATTGCAGCGGAACTTATCACCAATTTGTGCCCATCTCCAAACTCCAAATCTGCACTGCATCTTATTGTCGTTGCTTGGCCGGAAACCTGCGTTACACTCATACCGAGCATAAGAACCGTGTCTTGACTTCACAAATATGGCCAGCGCATTTTTAACCTTAGGTGGCCAGTCGCAGTCAGCTAAAAACTCTTAACAATGACTAAAATTGAGGAGTAAAATCAGTTTTACTGTGAACTAGGGAGGTAATTAAATATTTAATTACAGTTTTTGATGAACAGAAGTTCAAAAAATCTTTGTTTTGTTTAATTTTTATCCTGCCTACCAGGTTTGCATAAAGCTGGCTGCAACCAAGTACCATTATTACATTCCAATTTAATATCTCCTTTTGATTCATATCCTGCCTGGCAACTTAGTGTCACTTTTGTTCCATTGCGTACCATTCTGTTGACTTCGTACTCAATTATTCGCCCATTGATTATATATGGAATTCTGCAGTGAGCTAAAGAAAACGAATGCAACAAATCTGATTGTGATCTGCAGTTTTTATCATAGCTATGAAAAACCGATGAAAAAGGTTCAAAGTGGAATTTTCAAAATGCAGTACCAAGGCATGTTGGCATGGTGTTCGACCATTCACCAGTCAGCTTACACGTAGCCGAATCCAGTCCTTCCAAACTTGTTGCCTCCCAACATCGGAAATATACTGTAGAACCAGCTTTATTGCTATTGTTTTCTATTTCCCCATTAAACAACGTTTTAAGTGGTGGACAAAGAATTTCTAAAACATAAGGATTTTTGTACAGAGTTGATGACGCTGAAAGTATCAAGGTTTACAACATTAATCTATCGCACTTGGAATATCCCTAACGAGTTGCTGTGTGACTGGTCTCTGATTTTTGATTATAGTCTATTATTTTTCTTTTTGGTTAGAGGGAAAGAAATAAAACGGTAAGGTTGAAATGCTAATCTGATAGGATGTTACCCAAAGTGTGATTCGAAGAATTTTTATAGCACTTCTCTCAAAAGTTGGAGTTAATAACAAAATATTATGTTGATTCCACTTTATTACTGTTTTTAATGTGATTGAATGTTCGATTTGTAATTTCTTACCACTACAAGTTGGTTCACTGCCAGTCCAAGTTCCGTCTTCTTTGCATTTTCTCGAATACTGCCCAACAAGTCGAAATCCGCGCTTGCATGAGTAATGAATTTCTGACATAAAACTAACGGAGTTGCCCCGTACTTCGCCGTTGATTGGATTATGCGGGTAAGAACAGTTTATAGCTTAAAAATTTTCAAAAATTATTGTTGTTAATGGCAGCTTCTATAAAAAATTTTTTTTGCTGCTATGTGTTGGTGAATTAACCATAAACATTAAATTGTTCTGATACAAATAAATTTGTTTATATATAGCCCAACAAAAAAAAATGTGTTCAGTTGGATGCTGGAAAATAGAGCGCAAATATGGCATACGATAACAGCTGGGGAATCCCTTGTCCCAAGAGCCGTTTTCCAAGCATCTTGCGGTCATTCTGTCATCGATTACTTTTCTTCCTTCGTAATACATCCTGAAGCCGGGATTACAAACGTATGTTACTTCATTAGGGTACTCAAATTTGTCCCCATAACGAGTTGAGTTCGCAATCTGCGGTGCTTCCAAACAACTTCGCGCTAAAAGCGACGTTCTTTAACCTTTGCATTTTTATACCTCTGTCAATCTTTTATTTTTAGACGACCTTAATTATTTTTTGCTTGAAAACCTTTGTCAGTTGAACAAAAAAAAAACTCATCTATCTCTTTATCTGTATATATTTTCATACTCTCTTTACCGCAGTACAAAGCAGAAGAAGTCAAAAAATTGTTATTCAATGCAGTCTAATTTTTATTGGCAATAGGCACCATTTTTTTTGGGGTAAAATGATGTTTATTTAAATAATTTGATTTTAAATTAAATTTCTAATTAGGGAGAGTAACTTTCACTGAGATGCATAGCAGTTCTTCACACTTTAAAGGACGAAATCATCTTCTATTTAATGGGCAGTATTTAGTGTGGTGGTTAAAGGATATGTCTAGGTTTTCTGTGTTCCAGATAAACTGATGTTGTTCATAGTTCTGATTGGCCAGCTGGGAAAAGTGTAAACGGTAAACAACAGCATTTTGATGTCGGATTGATGGATACAGACTGTGTTAATCAGTTTGCGGAAGTCAATAACTCGTTGCAGAACACTCAGTCGTCAGAAAACAATAGAATAATTGACTCAAAAAAAAGTATCATTATTCTTCAAATGCTTCCCCATGGACTAATTTTACATTTGATTAGCAAAAAACACTTTAGCTGCTTGTCGTAATTGAAAATATTATATAAATCTTTTTTGTTTAATCCAATATTTGCGGTCATTTTTAGGTATCGAAAATTTGCGAAGTACCGAGAGCAGTAAAGTTCTGAACAATCATTTGATCATCAAAACACCGCGCAGGCCAACAAGACACCTAATAAAACTATATTATATGTAATACTGATCACTGAATGCATTCTCTTCTCAAGAAACAACCTTTTGATTCTGTTAATAAAAGTTTATTCTATTAATTCTAATGCAAATTAACTGAAAAAAGGAAAGAAACAATAACCTTTGCAAACGAGCTTCGGTCCATGCCATCGAGCTCTACCCGTTCTACTCAAGGAACATTTAGCAATTGGAACCGACATATGCTCATCTTCAGGATAATATCCTTTTATGCACTGATAGTAGACGATCGTATTCAAATCATACAATTTTTGAAGGTTACTGCCATTGTTAATGCCATAGAATATTTCTGGTATACTATCGCATTTTGCTTTAAAATAGTCAAGTAATTTTTTTGTTTTTAAAATACCAGCAACATATTAGCTGAGATAAGACATAAGCGCCTAATAAGTTTTACCAATTGGTCTACATATTGGTTCAGCTTCACTCCACTGTCGATCACCTCGACATCTTCGTTGAGATTTGCCGATCAATTCATAACCTTTGTAACATCCATATTCGGCACTTGAATTAAAAACTGTATCTACCAACAAAACCCATCCATGTGCAGGATCTTTTAAGGCTGGACATGTAGCGACTAAATTTTAGACTTCAGTTATTAAGTTCTTTTGTAGAACAACTTTTAAAAATTTGCTATGTAACTATTTTTATCGATAGAATATGCTTTGAGAGTAATATAAAAAAAAAATTTGGAATTTCTAGACAATAATTTGTTGTAATGTATGTATAATACGTACAACGATTGACACACGATTTTCCACAGTCATCACCATCTTTCAAGCACTCACGATTTTCTGAAGTACAGTCGAATTTTTGATTACATGGTTTTTTACAGTGTTTTGGTCGACCAAATCGTTGCGCATTTGTTGAAGAAATATTGAACAATAAAAAATTGAAGGCAGTAATTAAGGCAACAATTGTCAAAGTGAAATCCATTAGATTTAATTACGAAGTTTCCTGCAAAAGAAAAAACAAAAAAAGAAACAATTAATATTTAAATTTTTTTTTTTTTGGAAAAGTATAAAAATAGAAAAAGAAT